GATTATAGTAAAATTACTAATATTGCTAATATAGTTTTGATTTACTTAGTTGATTTACCACCCCAGTACGTACGTACGTGCGTACATACATGCATACGTACAATTTTGTATTATTATTGCTCGATCGGATCTTTATTACGAAGGAAAAATATATGGGATTTGGGATCGCCACCACATAGTACTTCGAAAAGGATCGTTACATTATGTTTGCTTCTGTTCCTTCTGCTCATTTACAAAATTATTGCTTGCGACCATCATCTTAATGGGCCACATATACTAAATAATCTGATGGGTTGGGTGGGGTGATATGAAAAAACCTAGACAAATCTTGAACCAGCTAAAATCATGCTATTTTGTCTGGGAAAACCCCATTCTCCTAAATTAAAACGTTGATTAGTAATCATTGCACAATCTACTAAGCAGCTTTATGTATATATTCATTAAGGTTCTTGCACTGCTGTGCAGCCGTAGAGCCTTACGTATTTCAGTGCCTATTTGCATCATATGCTTAAACAATTGGTTTGGTGACCATTGAGCTGCTGCTTTCAGCCACTGAACCACGATTATACTAAGAAAACTCTAATTCATAAAGTCATTTTGCTGCAATTAAGGTCTTTGTGCGCTACGTAGCCGTAGAGCCTTACATCTGTTGGCATAAAATACTGGGACACTTTAAGAACAGTTAACTCAGTGATCGACGATCACATGATAAACACATCATGACGTCATTTGTTTACCAGAATTAAAAAATTGGCCTAAACTATACCCTTACTATAATTCTAAACTAACCCTAATCTAGGCCGATGATTGTCATGTGATATTGTGATGATCACTGAGTTAACTCTTCTTCAATCTACCCAAAATACTTACACAAAACAACTCTATGTCATGTATTAATTAAGGTTCTTGCACTGCTATGCAGTCGTAGAGCCTTACATATACCAATTCCTATTTCATCATTTGCTTAAGCCATTGATCAGTGGTCATTGAGATGCTTTCAGTCACTGAGCCACGATCATACTAAACAAACTCTAATTCATAAAGTCATTGAGCTGCAATTAAGTTCCTTATCTTAATATGTACCAACTAAATTCAAAGACCTCTGATGGGTCAGGGTGGGCAGAATGAAAAACTCAGACAAGTTTGGGCTAGCTAAAAGCTATTTTATTTGTCTGGGAAAAACCCATTCCCCTACGACGACACAAATCAAGTTCAAAGCCGAATTGAGCTGCTATCAGACCCTTGTACTAGGGATTTAAACTACCTAAAATTTCCTTAAATGTTAATCATTTAACTGTATTAGCCGTTTAGCTGGCAGCATTAAGGTAGCCTCGACCCATGACGATAACTTTGTCTCGGCATAAGTTAACCATCAATCAAGTGGTCATTGTACTGCTTTTAGTCACAGAGCCACAATCATCTTAAGCAGACTAAAAGGTAAAATATTGATCAGGCATCATTGCACAATCATACTAAACAGATTCTATATCAATTCATTAATGCGCTTGTACTGCTATGCAGCCGTAGAGTCTTAAACCATTGATTAGGTGGTCATTGCACTACCACGATCATATTAAGCAGATCTAATTCATACGGAATGTTCTTTAATTCAGATAGCACCCTTCCTACTTTTTGGGTGGGATTGGTGGGACGATGAAGCCGGCCTAATATCGTAAGGCGGGCGATAGCGAAACCAAAGATAGATCTCATTAACGCAAGATTTCCCTCATATATACTAACTTTCACATGAACATCATGTTACGCTTACAAATTCATGTACAATGATGTCATTTCCGATCTCGCAATAATGTTGGCTTCGTCACTTCGTTGACAAGCCAATTAATTTTATTGAATCTATTATGCCAAGATAATAACTTAACCGGATCGGCCGAAAAATAATTCGGCTAATTTTTATCAGATGTTTCAGAAATTATGATAGTAGCAGTAAGAAAAATTTTCTTTGCGAAATAAAAGTAAAAATAAACAAATATATTATCTTGGCATATTATGGGCGGCAAAGCTGTCCGAATGATTATGTTCTAATTACCAGTTATAAAAATAAAACGTGAATGATTACCACCCATCGATCATACTTGTATCTTATAAAATAGTATTTGTGCTCTGCCTCAACTTGTCGACTTGACCAAAAAAATTATTAACTATGCCAAATTACAACATATACTTTTAATCAATTCTCTAGTATACAACTATATTTGATTGTATATATGTCACACTTTAAACAATGTGATTCAAAACTGCAAACAGCAACTATTGCTAGTTAGTTAATAAAATTTTATTTATTAACTATAAATGACATGATAGTCATAAAAAAATAAATGATTTTTTTATGACAAAAATGACTTGTCATATGACAAGATGTTATTTATTTTTAAATGACAATGTGCCATCACTGGATCGAATTGTGTGAAAGATTTAAATCAATAAACCACATCTTTAAGGTTAAGATTAAGGTCATGGTAGAATTTATACCAAAATCTCGCAAGGAAGTTTTTTGTTAAAATGCGTGATTCTCACGTTTCACCTGCTCCTTCGATCTAATTGGCTAAAAATCACGTTTCGGAAAATTTTCTGGGGCGTTCACGGGAATAATATTATCACGCGAGATCAACGGATCATGGTCACGTGGTCGACACGACGAAAACAAATCGGTTGAGTAAATATTTAAAGACTTAGCGCGAGGCGTGTTTTTTCGTTGCTGTCACCCGAAAGTGTAACTTTCTGGCTCAGTCGGGAAACACCCACCATTTTGCAACTACCATCCATCGCACGTTGCCCTAGACGGCTAAGAACTAGAATGTCGTAGTTATTGACGTGCTGTGGTTCACCATACCGTTCTCGTGCGGCTATGTACACTGTAAGGTTCTGGTTTAACTTCCCGAAACCCATTTTTCTGAAATACCAATTCACCGAAATCGTAATACTGACAATCCATTTTACTAATAGGACATAATTGGATCCGTGTCATTTCACCTGACAATCAATTCAACGAGAAGTTTATTTCACCAGCAGGCTTTATTAAAAATTGCACTAACCGTAACTCTAATTATAATTCTAAATTGACCCTAACGACAATGACCCGAATTACTTTTCGGTGAAATGACTTTCAGTGAAATAAAATAAACTATTGGTGAAATAAACTGTCGGCGAACTAACTTGTCGGAAGTGGGTCTTATCGGAAAAAAGAGATATCGGAATTATGGAGTCGGAGAAATAGCATCTCGGGAAGGTAAGGCCAGGCCAATTAAATTTTATGTTTTACATTACCCCCCCCCCCCTCCTCATAGTAAAAAAAAAAAGTCCGTATATCCCTCCCCCAGGAGGTAGAGGGGAGTAATGTAAAACACAGAATTTAATTGGTCTGGCCTAAACTTTGGTAAAGTGAGCAACAACGGTTTATTATATGTTTAGTATTATAATATGTATTGAAATGTTTAAAAGTAGAGAAAAAGAAAAGAAGCAGAAAAGAAGAAAATGATAATGAGCGGAAGATAAAAAAAACTGAAGGAAAAGATGATAATGATGACATAGATGAAGTGAAGAAGACAATAAAGAAACTTGGGACGCTTGTGGTCTTACTCAGCAACGACTCCCATCCAATGTTCAGTACTGAAATGTGCGTTAATATATTTAAAGTAAAAGTGAAAAAAAAGGGACAAGAAAAAAGAAAACGAAGAAAAGAAATGAGGGGAAATGGCAAGATAAAACGAAGACAATACGGCGGTGATAAAAACAATTGATCTAACGTTAACGGCCTAAAAATTTCGATTAAAAAATTTCGTTGTTAGATTGGTTGGCTATTGTTACTATTGTTTGGGAGAGCTTATAGAACTATCGGCACAATTTAACTCCAATAGTTAACTTATATGTTCTTTGTATAGAACTTAAAGTAATATAATAATAAATAAATTCGATTGTAGTAATAACTCAAACACGTGAGATTACGTAATTGATCCGAGATCGGGGCACTTAATTATATCTACCGATAATCAATCAAGTAAATAAATCAAGCTATGTGATCGTAATTAAATAAATCAGTAATATCGATAGTTAATCGGTACAACCGATATTAAGGGTCGATACTTACTGTATAAGGTAATAGAGTAATAGGTAATAACAAAAAGGGTATAATACAATCGTGAAGAGCCTTCACGGTTAAGATAAGAGAAATAAAATATAAAATAAATACAACAATACAACGGTAACTTTATATAACATCAATTCGAGAAATCAATTCTTAATACTCCTATATTAATGACATTGAAGTCTAAAGCTTTATTCGAAGAGCGAAAAGACAGCTCTTTTATACTTTCGAGATACATTGAAGGCTTATTACAAATTACTTTAGTCCCTTTTGACTAGAACTATACTTTCGATAAGTATCTTGTTATCTACATATTTCCTTTATTCATTTTCTATCTTGCTAAGGCGAGACCAACTGGATTCTGTGTTTTACATTACCCCCCTCTCCCCTCCGGAAAGGGGGGGGGAGGGGAGGGATTTGTGGTTTACATAGTAAAATTTTCAAAAATTTTTCCGAATTGTTCCGTGACTATATAAAAATTTTCCGAAATAGCCCGGAGCCCTATATATATTTATCAAATTTTT